GCATTCCCAGCTCTCCCTCACTTCTTAAACATGCATCCACTCTCCCCAGGGCTCAGCAGTGCCTACCACATGGCAGATAGATATTCGGAGAATGGTGGACAGTGAATGGATGGGTTTCAGAGAGTAGGACATAGGCTCAGTGAGTTTGGCTAAGTAACAAGGAAGGCCACAGCAGGTGGATCATCTGCCCTGATCCTGTGCTCACACTTGTCCAGCCAGGCCACATGCATTAATTAGATGACTTCACTAGGAATGGGTGTGGCATCCTGATCATGTCAGAGGTAGCCACAGAGAGAGAAGCCCATGGACACAGGAGGTCTGGACCCACACACAAGGGCTGCTGACCATAGCTGTTTGCGCACGGCTTGGCCCTTCAGGGTCTCCACATTGAAGTTGTTGGTCCGTGCCGGCATGATGAAGAAGGCAACAACTGTTTGCTCACTGGCATTCACCTGGGAAGAAGCAGACGGATGTCAGGGTACTGGACTCAACCATGCTGTCGCTGCTAAGAATTATGGGACTTCTGATTCTCTTTTTTATAATATAGGAGATTAAAATCAAAGTCTCCTGCATAAGTAGGGACTTTACCAGTGAGCCACACTGCCAGCCTCTCACTGAGCCATCCTAGGCAGGGGCTCTACCACTGAGCCCTACCCTCCAGCCCTGTTTTTATTTTGATACAGGGTCTCAAAATTGTCCAGATTGATCTTAAACTCATTCTGTAAATAAAAGCTGACCTTGATCTTCCCGCTTCGCCCCCCCTCCCTCCCCCAACACCGGGATAATAGGCATGTACCACCAGACCTGACTTCTGATCTTTCTGGGTCTCTATGCTCTGCTTCTACCAAGGGCTTCCATAACCACCTCATAGGTCTCTGTTCTCCCTGGCTATACACACATTGTCTCCTCTAGCTCCCCCTCATGGACCAGGCCTTACTCTGAGCAGATAGTTCAGCCTGGCCAAGGCTTCCAGGAACACATCAGCTCCCTTGTTGGAGAACTCGTAGCGGCCAGCGATAAAGAAATACAAAGTCTTGTCTAAGTTGAAGTCCAGGTGCCTAAACAAGCCACAGGAAACAGTGAGGTCCCAGCTCCCAATCCTGCTTGGAAAACTACAAACCCCAGAAGCCACAGGGCCAAAACATTTTTTTATAATACACAGGCAACAGGGATACATGCAAGCTGTAGAATTTTTCTCCTTAGATGGGTATTTATGCTAATACCTATCTCATAGCTCTAGATATCAAGAAATAATGGAGACCATAGCTGTCCTGGACCAAAGGACCAAGGAATCCAAACCTTCACCCTCTCCCTGAGACTTGGGAGTCTTCTTTGCTCCAGGCCAGGGGTCCTGACCCCAGCCCTCCTCCATCAGACCCAGGAGTCTCCACCTCTGCCCTCCTGTCATCCAGCTGGCTCACATACCCATAAAAGTGGCCACGCACAAACTCCTGGATCCGTGCTTTGCTCTGAGCATGAAGGTTCTGGAACTCGTGCATAGCAGAGAACTTCTTCACATTCAACCCATTGGGAGTCACAATGTCTAGGATTGGGGGAGAAGGGCCCCATGTTTCACTTCTTCCTTTTGATCAATGTCATTGATGACTACAGGAAGGGAAAGTAACTTTCCTGTCATAACTTCCCTGTCCCCATGGTCCCTTGGGGAGCTCAGCTCCCTCCGTATGACTGACTCAACTCTGCTACTTGACCCTTCTTTACTTTTTAATGATTTTTGGATTTATTCCTTTTATTTGATATGTATTGGTGTTTTGCCTGCATGTACATCTGTGTACCATGTGTGTGTCTGTTGCTTGGGGAGGCCAGAAGAGGGTGTTAGATCTTTTGGAACTGGAGTTACAGATGTTGTGAGCCACTGTGTAGGTGCTGGGGATTGAACCCAGGTCCTCCAGAAGAGTAGCCAATGTTCATACATTTGGGCGAACACACACATACATAAAAATAAATAAAGAAATAAACGTTTTAAAAAAATGTTATGAGGTGGCTAGGCGGTGGTGGCACACACCTTTAATCCCAGCACTTGGAGGCAGAGGCAGGAGGATCTTTGTGAGTTCGAGGCCAGCCTGGTCTACAGAGCGAGTACCAGGATAGGCTACAAAGCTAGATAGAGAAACCCTGTCCTGTCTCAAAAAATAATAATAAAAAAAAATGTTATGAGGGGAGGAAATGGTTGAGTCCTAAGAGGCATGAAGACAGTGCATTGTGGCCAAGAGTGAAGGAGGAACTGATAATGACAACCCTGTACAACTGAGGTACTTCAGTAACTGAACCCTCAGTTTATGGCCACCCCAGAGGCCAGGTAGTGGTGGTGCATGACTTTAATCCAGACACTCAGGAGGCAGAGGCAGGTGGATATCTGTGAGTTCGAGGCCAGCCTGGTCTACAGAGCGAGTGCCAGGACAGGCTTCAAAGCTACAGAGAAACCCTGTCTTGAAAAACCAAAATAAATAAATAAATAAATAAATAAATAAAAATAAAGTCCACTATATTTGCATTCCTTTCAAAAGATTGGCATATATTAGCCACTTGTGAAATTAAGAGTAAAAAAAAAAATATAGCTCCTATTAGCTCTCAGGATACAGAGTCAGCCAGCTTCATTTACAAGTTACAATCTCAACCTAGGACTTCCAGGAGTTGATGTTTTATTCCCTGTGGTAAAATAAAGCCAATGTGGGGCCCAGCATAGAGTCTCTCGCCCCATCCATTTGTAGGGACCACAGCTCGGACCCTACCTGGCTTCCTCTTGAGGAGGTGCTGTGTGACAATGGCGGTGATCTGGGACACTGTGGTGAAGACGTGCGCACAGTGGGCGGCCGCACGCTCCATGCAGTAGCGATGATAGATCTGCCGCTCACCGGCTTCCTTGTCCACAGTGAACTGGGGAGGAAGGGAGGGAAGTCAGGGTTTATAGGACGGGGGTCAGATTCTGGTCTGGACTAGGGTCCTAAGGGAGCTTGGGACTGGCAGCTGAACGTGTGAGAATAGGGTCTGGGCTCTTCTCTTGGGTTTGAGGGAGGAGGGTCTGCCTCGGTGGAGGGGCTGGGAGCCTGGACTCTTGGGAGCAGGATTCCCCGCCAGAGCTTTGGGCTGTCATGCAATACTTGTGTCTCCCATGCTTCCAGCTCACATTCTCCAGGTTGTTGTAGAAGTCGACGGCACCGGCACACAGATAGCGCCCCAGCAGTGTGGCATGGGTAGTGAAGATGGTTGCCACCGGCAAGCGCCGGGCACGGCACAGACACAGACCAATGCCTGCCAACCACTCATGGAAGTGGGCAACAACATAGGGCTTCTCTTCGTTCTGGGCCAGGAACTATGGGGCAACAAGGACAGGGCCACTGTTTCCACATGTCACAGAAGGAACCAGCAATCCCCAACATGGACAGGGAAACAGGGGAGAGGTGACAGACATGCACACAGCAGAGAGCCTTCCCACAGACAAGGCACTAAACCCCACATTAGGCCAACCAGCCAACCTTGTCCCCAGAAGCTGATGGGAATTTGTTTGTTTGCCAATGACTGAACCCTGGTAAGTCTGAAATGGAAGGACCAACATGTCCACGTCCCCTAAGTCCTGCTCACAATTCCAGAAGACTTGGTATTTCATCAATGGCAGTAGACTTTTTATGGGTAAAAAACAGGACCAAAACTTCTAGAATGTTTTGAATCCAGTAGCTCCTGTTTGTCCTAGGGCATTGCATTTAAGTTTCCTAGAACATTTAAAAACCCTAGAATGGGGTGGGGGAGCCCAGATTCCTGGTTCTGAAACCAACTCTAGTCCATAAGCATCAAGAATCCCCTCTGAGTGCTTCGATGTACTGAATATCAACTAGAAAGAAACTCCCAAAATTCCTGTGACCCAGCCCACTACCAACAGGACTCCCTGCAGGCAAGGCCTCAGTGTTTACACCTGGAAGATTACAGTACATGAAGCTGAGGTTGGCATTTCTGGTCTCTGAGAAAAGAAGCTAGACTCCTGGGTACTCATGTACCCCCAAATCAGAGTTGATCCTTGGATTAAAGAATCTACAATTCGGCCAGGAGTTGGTGGCACACACCTTTAATCCCAGCACTCGGGAGGCAGAGGCAGGCGGATCTCTGTGAGTTCGAGGCCAGCCTGGTCTCCAGAGGATAGGCTCCAAAGCTACACAGAGAAACCCTGTCTCTAAAAACCAAAAAAAAAAAAAAAAGAATCTACAATTCCAAGAATGCCCAGGGGAAGGCCACCATCTGGCCCAAGAAGAGATGATAGTTTCAGGTCTGGGTAGAGAGGCTGAGGTGGGGTCTGTAGTAGGGCCTACCTCACCCAGGAACCAGGTGGTGAGGAAGCCAAACAGGACAGCATCATTGGCTTCACGGTCGTACCAGGGTACCCCGATGTTGCAGGTGTCCCAGAGCTCACCCTTCCAACGCTCCAGGGCCCAGGCTGAGGCCCCCACATCCAGGAGTACCACTAGGGGTCCCCCCTCGATCAACCAACGCCCAAAATACACCTAGGACAGAGGCAGAGGGAGGCTCAGGCAAGCTGGCCTTGTGTCTCGCTCATCCGCTGCTCACTCCCGCCAGCCCGCCAGCCCAGGCCTGGTAACTAAGCTCAGCTAGCTCACTTCCCCTGACCAGCTGCCTCACATGTGCCCTGTGTAATGGCTACCTGCTACTTTTCTCCTCTGCCCATTGGCCTGCACCCTCCTGCCCAGCACTATGTTCCTAAAACTCGATGTCCTATTCCAGTCCTCATTAGCCGTTTTCCTCCTGAGGGAGGCTACTGGTAGAGGC